GGATCTGTTGCGAATTCGGCCACTCCGAAACCGTTTCGTAGTGTGTATGCAACCCCGTCATCCCCGCCTGAATCCCCTGATCACTCGCTGCAACAACACCTGCCGGGTCTGGGCCGCCACCGTCATTTTCACCATCAGCATCACCGTCGACGTGGAAGACATGCCATTTTGATCGCCGTCGGCGTCTTGCCGTCGGCGTTTCCACGTCACGGTTTGTCGTACCTCCGGTGAGTCACGCGCTAGTTAAACGCATCCCTTGTCTGTGCTGTGCATTTACTTGTTGACGTTGCCTTATGTACGTCATTGTACAATTTTGCAGTGCGTCACGTCTTGTTCGTTAGTTGGTTGTAAAGCGCTGTTGTCTGTTGTGGGTTTTTGTTGTTGTGCCGCATGCGACGTCGGCGTCTCGCCATGGACGTCTCGCCGTCGGCGTCTCACTGTCGGTGTCTTGCCGTTGGCATCTTTTAGTTCTTGTCAAATTGCTGTTCTTGCACGGCGGCTTTCTCCGCTGCCCTCACAGGCACTGCAGCAACGGGGAAGGGGTGGCTCGCTGGACAGCGGTGCCGGCGCCGTCAGCAAGCTATCAGCAGCTGCCGCCGCGGCGGCGCCGGCAGTAAGACCCCTAGCGGACTTTGCCTTTATCAGAAGTGCACCGAAACGTCGCGTCTCCGCCGGCCGCACCGGGACGTTGGTTAATACACCCTCAGCACCGACGGGGCCCATGGGAAGGTGCCGTCCCAGTGAGTTCGTACAGCCGGCGGATGAGGCGGCGGCGCCGACAGATGCTGAAGAGGCACTGCTGGACGGCAACGGCCCCACGCCGCCGTTGCTGCATCGAAGAGCTGCGACGCCTGAACTGGAAAACAAACGTGGTGGAAGCACAGGCGCCTCCCGGTCACACCAGCCGCATCGACGGTGGCGACGCGGACGGCAGCCGAGAAGGTATCGAGCCCAGCGACGGTGACAGTGATGATGGCAGTGATGAAGTAGTGATAATGGGAGAAGCTCCAGGAAAGGGGTCCTGGCACTTTGGCTCGTTACCTCGCAACGGAGGTTCGGATCGGCAGACATGGGCGGACACCTTTCACGGCCCTTTCAGCCACCGCGCACTAATGCAGGGGCCTTTGCGGGCGCTGCTGCTGCTGCTGCTAGCGCTGCTGCTGCGGCGGCGGTGACTTCAACCCATTTCCCTCCCCGGCCGCCGCTGTGGCTCTTCTCCTCTGGGCTTGCTGCCACCGCGACCTTTTT